GGAGGGTGGGGTGGGGGAAGTGCAACTATGTAACACACTTAGAGATAATCCATGAATCAAAGAGAAAAATCTAAAGGAACTTAAAAACAAACAAACAAAACATTTAATTGAACAAATGAAAATATAACATAAAATATAACAAAATATAACATAAAAAGGACACAGCCATAGAGGTATTGAGGAGAAAACTTACAGCACAAAAAATATACATTAGAAATGAGGAAAATCGCTCACATGCAGTCCCATCTAAAGATCCAAAAAAGAAGAGAAACATAAACCAAAACTGTAAAAGCCAATCTCACAAGTTAAAGGTGGCATTGGATTGGGTATCTATTATAATTATATCACAATAATTTGCCAATTCACTCCACTTAGTCAGTGAGAGAATTTCTGAGCTCTAAATAATTGGCCAAGAGTAAGTTCTATTAAACCTCAGGAAGAGCATTTGGTTCCAAGGTAGCAATTCAAAGAGCAGCGGCACCACCGTTCCTTAGTGGTGGTAGTCAACATTTCATCAGCCTCTACCAGTTCTCAGAATACAATCAGTTCTTTTTTTAAAAGGAAAAACAAGTTTCTATGATTAAATGTAGTTGGGAAATAAACAAAGGAAAATAAGATTCTTTACTGTGAAACCTCGCAGAGCCTTTGGCCTGCAGACAACCCTTATGAATCTCCACATGGCATGTACCATGTCCCAGGTTTATTTGGCCACAGACACTTTTTCCATGAAGCATTTCATGAGAATAGTGTCTGTAAAATTCATTAACAGCACAGTTCTCCAAACAACTTGGGGAACTATTCTATGGTCCTCTACAGTTTAAAAGATTATCAGGGCTGAATAGAAATGCCAAGTGTACTTGTTAATAATGTGGAATTTTTTCAATAAATGGAATTACACATATGTTGATATATATACAATTTGCTATGTATGCTATTTTGTATTCACAGCAAGTTTCAAAACTTCATATGTCAAATTTGCTGAAGGTGTTAACATCATAGATATTTTTATGCTTAAGAAAGTCAAATTTTGTGCCAAAAAAAGAGCATTTGTGGGAAGTTTTAATTCATTATTTTATTTTGAAGAAAAGTGCTACTGAAAGTTATAGTATACTTCGGGAAGCTTATGGAGAACATGCTCCATCTCAAGAAACTTGTGAACGCTGGTTTAAATGCTTTAAAAGTGATGATTTCTATGTGAAAAATAAAGAACGTCCAGGTCAACAGAAAAAGTTTGAAGACCAACAATTACAAACATTATTGGATGAAGATGTGTGTCAAACTCAAAAACAACTTGCAGAAAGATTAAACATTGTTCAGCAAACAATTTCCAATCATTTACAAGCAATGGGAAAGATTTAAAGGAACCACACTTTGATTGTAAAATGACCAGAATGAGCCAGAAGACATGGCAAAGTAGTTTTGCTTCATGATAACGCACCATCACAAAATTCAAAACCAGTTAAAGACACGTTAAAATATCTTGCCTGGGAAGTATTAACCTACCCACTGCAGTCACCAGACCTTGCTCCTTTGGATTACCACTTGTTCTGATCGATGGCACATGCACTTTCTGAGCAGCACTTCAAAACGTACAAAGAAGTGGAAAATTGGGTCGCTGAATGGTTTGCCTCAAAACAAGAAAAGTTCTGCTGGGACATTATCCACAAATTACCTGAAAGGTGGGGGAAATGTGTAGCTAGTGATGGACATTACTTTGAATAAAGCACTTTTGATGTTTCTCTTGAAATTATCATGTTTTCTTTGATTACAAAATCTGCATTATTAACTGGTACATCTGTTGTTTTCAAACCTCAATTAATGTGATTTTTTTAACCCACCACAGTGGAAATGCCCTACTGCTCTCTGTGATCAGAATGAGTATCAGGAAGAAATGCTTTGAGGTGGAAAGTGAAGGTGTGGGAGAGCAGAGGGGACTGGGCAGCAGTAAATAGAAGGGAAGACTATTACCAAGAAGAGCCTGGCATGGGCTGTTCATGAATCAGCAGGTAGAGGGCCCCAGTATGAAACTGGAAAGGGCAAGACCATTCAGGCCATGATGATCAAGTTAAGAGTTTTGACCTTTTTATTAAAAACAATGAAATGCCAATAGGGAATTTTTAAGTAGGGAGCAACAAGATTAGCCTTTCATTGTATAAAATCTCTACAGTATAGAGAATGTATCAGGGTATCAGGAATGGGTGTGGGGAGGGCTGACCTGGTGCAGACAGGAGGTGAAGGCAGCCTGGTGTTGGCTCCAGAAAGAACTGAGAGAGTCTAGGAGGTTTTAGGGCTCCTTGGTAGCTGGATGCAGGTAAGGGGAAGAAGAGGAGGGTACCAAATGATTCCCCAGTTTCTGTCCAGAATAACTTCAGGGTGCAGTAATACCATGTAAAGAGCTACCAAATATTTAAAAAGAAGAAAGGAGAAGGAGACCTGTAAATTTGAGGTGTCTCTGAGGTATGTCCAAGAGTAAATGCTGAGTAAGTAGCTGGAGGTTTGCTAAATATTCTGGAGAAGAGATTGCCTTTTATTTCCCATAAAATGCCAAGATAAAGTTCAAATGGATTAAACATTTGCATGCACAAAATTAGCTCATGCTCGCCAATTCAGTGTTTGGGCTTTGACCTATAAAGCAGGAGGTCATGGTTTGATTTCCAGTCAGGATATGTGCCCTGGTTGTGGGCTCAATCTCCAGTAGAGGACATGCATGAGGCAGCTGATTAATGATTCTCTCTCATCACTGATGTTTCTATCTTTCTCTCCCTCTCCCTTCCTCTCTGAAATCAATAAGAAATATATATTTTAAATTAACTTGTAAAAATTAACTCATGAGTGATTGGAATAATATAGGAGAATAATTATAAAATCTTAATACATAGAATCTTTCCAGCATAAAAGAAGAAAAATATAAATATTTAATTATGTAAATTTAAATATGCTATATATGAAAAACAAATACTTTATATACATTTAAAAGGCAGTGGGAAAATATTTGTAATCTATATATAAAATGTAATATACTTACTATGAAGGACTATTTCAAATAAAGAATAAAGATTAACATAAATAGGAAGTTCATAAAAGAAGAAACAAAAATGACCACAAATGTATTTTTAAAGTAGGAATAAAAAACATACAAGTTCAAACAACACTTAAATGGGTTTTTGCCATCAGAATAACATTCCTTAGTACTAGTATGAAGATGAAGAAATAGATGCTGTGCATTCTTAATAGGAGAGAATACTGTTACAACACTTTTTCCTGGAGAACAATATGAAAATATTAAGTATCCTCCTGGACCCTGTATCCCATTCCTGGGGCATTAGCTCAAGGAATAATCAAATAAGTACACAAAAATATACATATAAGAATATTCATTATAATATTATATATAATAGAGAAAAGTTCTCAAAAATAGTTGCCTACCCAAAAGCTGAATTGACAATGAGTTAAAAAAACAAACAAACAAAAAAAAAACAAAACAAAAAGAAAACATGGTATGCCATATCATGGACTAAAACCAATAAAAATGATAAAACAGAAACACGTTAAAAGATATATATTTTTAAGTGAGAAGGAGGTGACATAATATAATATGAGCATTGTAATTTCTTTCAAATATGTGTGCATATTGTATCAAGATGTTACCAACAGTTATCTCCTAGCTCCTAGCAGTGCAGTGTTAAATAGTGGGGTGTTTTTCCCCCTATAACATAGTATTTATTAATTCATCTTCCATACTTTTTATTATTTGTGGGATAAAAATACCTGGAAAAAATGGGATGCTTCCCCAATATTATTTTTACACCCACTGATGACTATAACTATCTGTGTGTGTTAAGCCAGTCTACAAAACAAAACCATCTATGAGTGATTTTCTGGAGTGAGCCTATTCCTCAGACCCAGGAAAACTCAAAAGGAAAGCACAGCACGTGACACAGATAAATATGAAGGTATCAGAAGTTGCTTCTCTCACATCTTGACTGTTGATATCTTCCCCAGAAGCACACCTAAGACTCCCCAAGGATGGACCCGGGAGCCAGGTGCTGGAAAATTCTCCAGGAGAGAGGTGAGCATTCGGGGACTTGGTTTCCTGGAGCTTAAATACCCATCTGCTTCTATAGGCTCCTTCCAGGTCATCCTTTTCTATTTTGCAAACCAGAGTGACTCTGGGTGAGCAAAGCTCTGAAAACCTAGACTTGCCCTGCCCTCTACATTTCAGGACTCCTGGGCTCTCCTGGAAAAGCAAAGGATGGAATCTTTTCAACCTACAAGTCCATGGTTCCTTTTGAGAAGATGATGAAGACTTGAGAGTCTCCCTTCAGCAGATACACATACATTCAACATTTCACATCTGTTTCAGGTTCACAAACTCCCAGGAGCCCATAAGGAATGATTTAGAAGGAGCCCAGGTTAGGGTGGATCCCCTAGAAACAACTCTCTCCACTCCTAGCCTAGTAGCCACTGTGGCTCCTTTAGAACCTGCCCTTGTCCTCCTCACCTGCTTTCCCCAGGGCCACCTTCTCTCCTCACTCTCCCCACCCCCGTAAGCATCCCTACCTTCACTAACAGTCAATGTGGAACCTGGAGTGTCCCAGTACTTTCTACCATCACCACCGTCTCTTTTCATTTTTCAAAACCCACTCCTCTGTCTTTCAATAAAAATACAAGTTGTGGCTGAATGCAATTGCTACAGAGATCCTTCCTTCCCTTCTTCCACTAATACAAACCTTTCAGATGTTAGCATAACAGCTCATGTCTTGTGTTTTACAGCAGCATCTCTGAGTTGTACAGCACTGTTAGTCTCAGCAAGCCTATGTACAAATACTGGTTTTGGAAGAGCCTCATTTAATGACAAGCAGTGGGTTATTTTTAAGCAGACCTTCATCTAAATGCAATGTCCACTCACCTTTTGCAGAGAGGCTCCTGATTTTTTTTTAACAGTGGTAAGCTCAGAAATATTGTGGTAAATTTGAAAACCCAGTTCCTGGGTCACTTGCCTGTAAATCCTGGTGTGCAGACACACGTGCCATTTAGGCCTTCACTGTCACAGGTGCCTCCGTTCAGACAGCTGACATTAGCACAGGGATCCTTGTAGGATTCACAGTGAATTCCTGTGGAGACAGACACACAAAAAGGGTGACTAGTTAAGGGATCTTCAGCTCCTATGGCCTTTGAGAGCAAAGTGTTTGAACATCCTGGAATGGTATGAAGACAGATCCTTAGTGGCACTCGTGTGTATGTGTGCGCGCACATGCCCAGTCTTGACTTTTGGTTGTTGTAAAGACATATTTTATGAGAAAATAACAAATGCAATCCCTTCTCAGAGGTCCTACCACAAGTCTTTCATCTGGACTTTCTCTGAGCACATATCCTCAAGCCTGGGGACCAGAAAATTAAGGGCCTAAAAGTTCAAATTTATCAGGGGCCAATACTTTCTGCATCTCCAAAAGAAACAGAAAATAGCCAGGCAGCCTCCTGATGGGAAAGAGTTGGATCCAGTTATGTAAGTGAGCCTCAGTAAGTGATTTGGGAAATGGCAAGAGAGTGAGCCCCCTGGTACTCAGACGGCAAAGACCTCATTAGTTCCCCATGCCCTAAAGTTAACATGTCTGCACATACTACATTTCAGACCTTGCACTGTGCTTTCCACCAGATTTGATCCTAACAACAACACTATGAGATGAATGCCTTCATTCAGCCATTGTAGGTGAGAAAACTGAGGAAAGAATGCAGGTCCTGAGGCTGCAGGGGAGGAAGCTGGACCCTGAAACCACAGGCAGTCTGCATCTGAGTCTGTGCTTGCAAAATAGTTCTCTTAGAGTGAACGCACACTGGCATGCAAACACACAAAATTCTATGTAACTCAGCGCCCATTTAACCAAAGAGAAGCATTTTAAAAATCATAGTGAAAACAGTGGCTTCCCATTGATATTTAAAAAGGTCTATGTGTGTGTATGCATACAAATACCCGAAGTTGGACTGAGAAGAAAATGAATTCCTTTGATTTTCATGTTATGTGTTTCTATAGTGTTGGAATAACTTTATAATGAGTACCTGTCCTATATAATAAAGAGCTAATATGCTAATTAGACCAGACAGCAGAACGACCAGTGGGTGGGGCTTTGGGGACATGAGGCAGCTGGGCTGCCAGGGCCAAGCCCCTTGCATGAATTTCATGCATCAGGCCTCGAGTTGTTTTATAATTTGATAAAAAACTAAAAATGTGGCTTTTCCTAAGGCAGGATTTATGCTGTTGTTTTAGTGGAGAGCCAAGATGCAGGCCTAGCTCCCTCTCTCCCATTCCTCGCTCTCTGGAGAGGAAGATAAATTACATTCTACTCTGTATAAGAATCTATACAATGATATGCTCATCCTTCCTGGCAGCATCACGAAGAACAAGCATAACGCAAACAGAGACTGAATCGTATTTACATAATTTGCTATCCACTCATTACTTAGCTCAGATTACAAAAAGGCTGCCACACCCCATGACTCATCATTTAGTCACTGAAATTACTCTTCTTGGGATTCTTCTCTCATCTCTTTTTCAATGCCTTAAGAAGTTAGGGCTCAAGAAAGAGGAAAAACACATAAGAGAAAATAGAATGAGAACTGCCTCTCTGTATTCACATAAATGACTTGCTTGAGCCTGGTAAAGCATTTTAGAATGGACGGCTTTTCATTTCTTTTTATCCGTTGCCCCTCATATCCAACCCATGAACAATAGTTTGCCAGCTGTGCCCTAACCCGTTTGGCTCAGTGGATAGAGAGTCGGCCTGAGGACTAAAAGGTCCCAGGTTTGACTCCGGTCAAGGGCATGTATCTGGGTTGCAGGCACATCCCCAGTAGGAAATGTGCAAGAGGCAGCTGATTGAATGCTCTCTCTCATCAATGTTTCTAACTTTCTATCCCTCTCCCATCCTCTCTGTAAAAAATCAATAAAATATATATTTTTAAAAAGTTTGCCAGATGTTTTCCTAAAGTGCCTTTCAGATCTTTGCTTTATTTTGCTCCCTGCAACCACCACCCCCAACCCCAAGGCCCTGTGCTCAGTGGGATATGGCCTCTCTGAGCCCTGTCCTAGTTCCCTGCCCAGCTCCAGTGACTTGTGTGAGCCTGAGACTTCCAGCATCCTTAACAAACCCAGGAGATGCATGTTAATATACAAGCTCAGAGTAATTTAATGATAAAATTACTTATTAGCATAAAGTTAGTGATTCTTTGAGAGAGAGGGGTTAGAGAAGAGAAAGAGAGAGAGAGAGAGACATTACTTTGCCTGCCTAAAACTCTCTATTTCTTTTTCTTTTTTTTTCTTGCCTAAGATTTTATATATGTCTTCTTCTTCCCCATTTGACGCCCCCCCACCACCACAGCCATTCCCACCCTGGCAAGCCCCCATCACCCCTGTGTCCATTGGATATGCTAATATACATGCATACATAAAACTCTCTATTTCTATTCCTCACTGATTCCCAAGTAATGCAAGCTCAACTGAAAGATCGAAATCCAAAAGGGCCCTTTCTGTTTCCAAGTGTTTATCAAAAAACAAGGATTCACATATTTACATGTTCCCCTGAAGGCTGGCCAATGGGGAACCAGCTGACAAATAAGACTTTCAATTATAATGGGAAATGGGTCTGAAGCCTAGAAACATTTCCATGAGCAATCAAGGATAATCTTTCCTGGGTTTCTAGTGGTAGTCAGCTAATCTCACCTGCATGATATTAACATAAATAACACATTAACATACAAATTACCACATTTTCCAAATAAGGCTGAAGAGCAAAATCTAGGCAAAATATTTAAACATCTTAGCCTTAAAAGACTTCAATATTGCAGATTTGATTAAAACACACAAAATAATAAGCACCTTCAATCTTTTGTGTGTTTTTGGCAATAATTCTATCCCTTGTTATGTCTCTTTTTCAAGAGATAAGATATTGGATCACTTGTGACCCAGTGAGAGTTTTCTGGCAGCAAGATGGAACAAAAGCCAATCTTGACAGAAACATGATGACTCCGAACCAAGATGGTCTTCAAGTCCCCAGTGAGCACTCTGGTTACTCACATTTCTATACTCTGAGCCTTGCTAATCCCTATATAAAAATATTTGTCATATTGCTTAGCGTGGCGATTAGAGCTATGAGCTGGAAATCTTAAGAAGAGAGATAAAAAGTCATGAATATTGCTGTGCTCAGATGGCCTCCACTCCTGCCCTTCTCCGGGGGCCCCAGATCTCGCTTTCCTGAGCTCATCATTCCCTAGGGGTCCAGGTGCATGTACAACATGGAGTGTTGGGCATCCTAAGTCCTCTGACAAGAAGGACTTAGGCTATTATTTAATCAGAAGAGCAGACTGAGGCTGAAACACACATGGAATAATGAGGTTAAAGTTGAGAAGTCAATTGTAATTTCTGAAATAATTTGGAAAAAGTTTTTTTCCCAAGCTGGTCATCACCTGGCACATCCTCGCTGTCCAAGGCCAGCTCAAACCCCCTTTGTCCAGAAAGCTGAGCCTGACTCTCCCAAGACAGAGGCCCATTCTCCCACCATCGTGCATTGAGAGCGTGCTAAGTTCACGCCATTACAGAGTTTAGTGTGTTAAACCATGGCTTATCTGTTATTCTGTCCGATCCTGCTTTCCTCTCTCCCCCCAACCCCCCCCCCAAAAAAAAATTAAATCTCTGAAGTCCTTTAAAGCATATCTTAATGCATGGAAGAAATAAGGGTATACCACCAGAACCCTGTCTTTTCAGGAGGGGCAACTGTCTGTGTACTTTGGCTAATACACAGGTAGGATTGCCAGAGGAGTGAGAAGCGATTCCAAATCTGCCTCAAAAACACCCTATTTTGTCAGGGAAAACCAGGTCCACACTTCAAACCGAGACTGTGGAATGATACACGCATCAGCCATTGGCAAGGGATGCAGCACGCACTATTACGAAACTTATGTTTAGTCTCAAGCAAAAATAAACTGTAATTCAGTCAAAACTAATAAAAATTCATACTTTTCATATTAAGGAATAGAGAGGCAATGTTTCTGAAAAGATCTCTACTCCAACAAGGTTCTTCATGGAAGTTAATTTTAGAATTAAAATGAACAAAAATTCAAAGAGTCGTATACCAATTATAAATCTTTGTTGTCATCATGATTAGTCATGATTAAGATTTTTTTTTAAAAAATTGTTATTTTGATCTCCAGGAACAAAAGTATTCCAGGTAAAGAAAATTAGATTGAAGTGTTCTTAGAACTTATTATTCTCTTTAAACCATTATTTTATGTTCAAACTTATTTCCTCCATGAAAACTTTTCTATTATTTCTACCCTCACAGAACTCAACTTTTTCCAAATTATTTCAGAAATTACAATTGAGTTCTCAACTTTAACCTCATTATTCTATGTGTGTTTCAGCCTCAGTCTGCTCTTCTGATCATTAAATAATAGCCTGAAACAGGAAAAAAAATCTTGACAGATTTCTGCATCTATCTCACTACACGAGAGGAGGTAGGTAGACAAAAAAATCCAGAATTCTGGTTCCTGGTTACACAGAAGAAATAATTTTGGTCAACCTCAAAAATTCTCACATTCTATAATATAAATTCGGTAGACTTTAAAAATACATAACAATATAGTAATCACCAGAGGGGAGGGGAGTTGAAGAGGTTGGAGAGGGTAAAAGGGGATAAATAGTGATGGAAAGAGTCTTGACTTGGGGTGGTAAACACACAATATAATATACAGATGATGTATGTAGAACTGTATACCTGAAACCTGTATAATTTTATTGATCAATGTCACCCTAATCAATTTAATAATCCTATACAATAATCCTATGCAAATCAACTGAACAGTTAAACTATTGGTGAAAAGACTGGTCACTATGACAGGTACTAACCACCAGGGGGCAGACACTTAACATGGAGGTTTCTCCCAGCCCACAGGCTCCTGGCCAGACAAGGCAGGTTCCAGTGCCCCCCCCCCAATTGCCCTGCCCATTGCCCCACAGATGGAGGCAACTGGTGATGGCAGTGGGGTGATTTGGGGGGGAGGGTAGGGCCAGCCAGTGAGTAGGCCAGTGCCACCCCCACCATCACCCCACAGAGGGAGATGA